TTTGGCGTCAGAGGGGAATCCGCGCTGGAGAAGGGGAGGTCGCGCAGCCCAGGCCGCGGATTCTCAGGCAAGCGCGCCCTGGAAGAGGGCATGGGAGTCAGTCCCCAAAATAGCCTCCTCACCGGCGCACCGCAGGGCCGGGCCGGCAGCTGCGATGGATGGGATTTCCGCTGCTGTTGGGTAGTCCAGGAGCGCGCCGCTGCATGAGCGGGTGGCAGTTCCCGTGTTCTGTGAACTTGCTGCCTGACCTGAAAATGGCCTCCCAAGGAAAGGTGCGGAGGACCAGGCAGGCTGTTCTTCCCACTCCCCGGCCCCCCCGTCTGGAAAGCGAAACTACCCGCAGGCAGCGAAGAAAATCCGGAGCACCGTTGCTTCGGGTCCCCGGAAGACGTGGGAACCAGCCGCGATCTCTAGCCTTGTGCCGGTCACATCCGCTCGGAGTGGTCCGCGTCTTCTTGCCATGAATTCCCATTGACCTCCGCGGGGGTCACTTCTGCACATTCAGGCTCCCAAACCTACCGCGGTCGTGATCTCTCTCCTAGGGACGGAGGAGTGAGCCGCGGCTCTGGCCTGGCTGGTGACCTCCTCTTTCCCGAAGTGCCTCCCGGTTGCAGCCTCCCCGCTTTGGCCAACTTCTAGCCCTGCAGGCCCGGGCGCTGGCCTTCCCACCCCGATCCATGGGCCTTCTTCTAAGTCCAGCCGGTCGAACTCCTGCTTTCGGTGGAACTTACTCTCAGACCAAACGCATTCGGGACTCTCCTCCCAAACTCCATTTGTTAGGCGACTTGGAAGGAAGGAAGCCCCCTTTGAGTTCAACGGATCCCCCTTCCACGGAGTCGGTCGCCGCTGTCGGATTCCCGCTCTGCCTGGGAAATTTACTTCTTGCCGAGCAAAGCTGGCGAGAGCCGGTCCGTACCCAGCATCACAGATCGCTCGCGGCTCCCTCCATCTGAATGAACGGGCATCCTGAGAAGTATGTCTACCAAGCAGACCCGCCGCGCAGTCTTATGCATAGTTACTCAGAAGTGAGTCCCACTGAGTTCGGTTAAGCCTGACGCCCCAGAAAGCATAATCTAAGACTGTACCCCTATTTGCTAGGCTGCGGGTCGGGTTATTAGATATGCAGGTCCTATAAAGTCGGGGTTCCCGGCCCAATCACTCTTCCTCCCTGCATCTTACTTCGAAGTAAAATGTTGAGGAGTCGAGGCTTTGGAGTGGGGCCGGAGAGAAAACCGGGTGGGATTTAAACGGCACCTCGAGGCTCCGGGCGAAGAAATGTAAAGACTTTGACTGAGCTTCCGAATCCTGAAGGCGTTTACACGCAAATGGAAGCGCCGACTGATTTGGGAGCAACTTCAAGGAAAGGGTGTCCAAGGTCGTGCGCCCTTCCTGGTAGTGAAGCTGGCTTAAAATTCTATGTGGTTTACTTCTGAGTGAATATGCACTGGGTCGGGCTGGAGAAAGTACGAACTTCTGGGGAAGAACGGAAGCCACAGTCAACCCGAGGAAAACTTTCCTTGTCAATTTCTCGTCAGCTCCTCCAACGGGAGAAGGAAAACGGTTTCAGCGGAAGAAAATGACACCGCTCCGAGGAAGCCGGACTGCTTCCCCGCGTGGCTGGGGTGTTATGATAACAACTAAATAAATAAAGTCGGGAAACAACAGAGAGCTCTCGGGTCGCAATAACAGGAATGGCGGCAGGGAAGGGGGGAGAGAGGAAACAAGGGCGACGGTGACATTACCTTTGCGCGGCCACATTGGCGTCCACTACCCCGACATTCCTGACCCAAGATCGGACGGGATCCATCTCCGATCCCAGCACCTTATCCTTCAGGAGGGGTCCTCTTCCTAAGGTATCTTGGATTCCAAACATTTAAGTAAAGTTTATCCCAAACCCCAAAGAACGCTTCCGGTTGCCAAAGGAAACTTCAAACAGGAATCAGGCACACGCGGGCACGCAACAAATTCCAAGGAAGTTAAGCCGGATTGCACTTTCTTCAGGTTTTTGGAGACGACTTGGATATTTTTAAAGGACGTTTTTTCCTCCCCCTCTCTCAATTCTTGCAAAAAAAAGAAAAGAAAAAAAGAACGTAAAGTTGCTCCGATCAGCCTCTTCCGAAAAAAAAAAATCATCATTTCTAATAAACACTGCCCGGGACGAAAATGCATCCCCAGTCCTTGTTCTCAAGGATCACCTGCTTTGCAGAGTCACGAGGGAGGATTGACGGCTGCCTAATCCACGAGGGGAGAGAGAGAGAACTTTAAAAAAAAAAAGCCGCGATCAATTGTGGAAGAAAAAAAGACGAAACGCAGCTAAAGAGAATCTGATTACACTCTAAGCTGTGGCAAAGCGCGTCTGTTTTCCCGCACCATGAATGGGTTACAGCGGCAGGAGAGAACGAACTAGGAAAAGGGGAGGGGCGCACTTCCAAATAAGGCTCTGCTATTTGCATAGTCATCTCTCATTGGAGGAGAAGGGCAAGCTCTTCTCTAAACTGATACACGCTAGTTGCAGCTTCGGTTTAAATGAAAGCAGAGGGGAACCGGGGGGGGGGGGGGGGAGCCTCTAACCGGGCGAAGAAGCTTACGAGGGTGTTGAATAAGTTACTTACCAAATAACTTTGTTTTCGCTTTGTTAACCTAAAACAGATCTGGGGAGAGAACCGGGGCCAATCTTCTTCCCAGCTGCGCCTGCAATGTTCGCATCGCTCTAGTCCGAGCGTTGCCCCTGATGTTCCTTGTTCCATTTTATAAAACATGTTTATTTTTAAACGTAATCTTGTTGCAATCACATCAGAGAAGCGGGTTCTTTTAAAAAACAAACAAACGCCGGGGGAAGAAGTTAAGGGAACCTCGACTGTTTGAAGAACTGGCTGCAGTCCTAGGGCACGCTTCCTCGCGAGAAAGTTGGGTCCCAATAGGACGGCGTTACTCCAGAGGAAGAAAGCCTAGGACCGCGTTCTAGAAGGCTCCCCCCCCCTCTGTTCCTTGCGGGGAGTGACGGGTGTGTGTGTGCCGAGCTGACATCTCGTCGTAGCCGTGTGCGCGCCTGAGCCCACGCGTCAGAAGGTGGGATGTGTGTGTGTGAGAGAAAGAGGCTTCCACGCATATGTCACGATCCATAACACGCCTCCAGAACTTCGCACAACACAGGAGTTGCTCGACGCGAACTTCAGTTGTATGTATCATTGGAAAGGGGGTATAATAGGTAACACACAAGGCGCAGGAACACACGCGCGCAGAAAGCCGCTGAGACGTTCGTCTTGCCTGAAAGAATGACACCTCTCTATATAAATTAAGCCGCTTTGGTGTCATTTCCCTCCCACCCAC